ATTTAAATGATTCTCAGACTATATTTCCGAAACCTAGATTTTTTAATTAATTAAATTTTTTAATCCATACAAAATAAATTTCAGAATATGATGTGAGATACAGACATCACATTTTTTTCCTCTAAGTCATGATTCAGTCATCCATACACTGTTCTTAATATAAACCTTTTTTTCCACCCTGATTTAACATGCCACCTTTATGCTAAATGTTTTAGTTCTTAAATTTTTCATTGTGTGTCAATGATATTATCTATTCTTGTTTAAGTACTACCAAGCTATTTTAATGATTGGAGCTTTATAGTATATTTTAAAATCTCAGTGGGAAACCCTGCCTTATTCCATTTTATTTTCTAACTCTTCTTATTTAATCTTGATCCTTTATTCTTCTTGAAAAGCTTTGGAATCATTTTATTAGATATTGTGTGTAATATTACCTCATAGGCATAGATTATATTACAGAAAATTAGCATCATTACACTGTTACCTCCCGTAATATAAGTATTGTGTGTCTTTCCTTCTATTATAGTCTTTTATGTCTGGTGGCAGAGTAGTGCTCACATATTTCATTGCTCACCTACATTTCTCAGCTGTCCTGGCACTGCAGTCACACTGGGGTCATCTGATCTGCTCTGACCAATGGCAGAATATAAAGGATATTGATCACTTATGGTCAGAGGGAATTAAGAGTCCATATGCACCCTTCAAGTTGGTGATCGGGGAGTCAACATATTGAGGCCCGGGAAGCCACAAAATGGAAGCAGCCTGTATCTTTGAGTTGCAGCATGGAGGATGGCAGCCTTGCCCAGCCTCCCAACCTGCATCAAATGTTAAGTGAGGAAGAAGTAAGCCTTTTGCTTGTGACAAGTCATTTAGAGCTAAGGATCGATTTGTTTACTATAGCACAGTCCCTTTTAAAAGGTCATAAATTTCTTAATCAATTTATTTCTATTTATTGATATTTCTGTTCTTGTGATAGGGAAATCACATTTTGATTTACCATAATGTAAATATTGTAAATAGACGGTCCATTTGCCTAGTAGGTGAGAAAGTGAACAGATTGAGGGAAAGAACTTCTCTGTGGTGCCCAACAGCTTCTATTCCTGATTGCATTGGAGCTCACACTTAGCTTGGGCTCCAGGGCAGTGTTCCAGCGCCTGCTTCCCAAGTGGAACCCACTTCCTCAGGATAAAACCAGCTTTTCAGCTGCCCTGCTTTGCTTAGTCCAGGAACTCATTTCAAGTGTAAATGTTACTGAAAACTTTAAGCAGCCTCAGTGTCTGTACCTGATACACTTACTCCCAGATTGTTTGTCCTGGTTCCCGGTGCCTCTTGCTCTAAGTTTGGGGAGGGAGGCAATTGTTGACTGCGGATTAATGGCCCCTCCTCTTTCCCCGTAATTAACCTCACCTTTATAAGTCCTGAATTATAGGTCGATAGGTTCTTTTCTCAACCTAAGCTCACCGGTACTATAATTCACAGAAAGTCTTGAAAATTCTAGCCAATGGGCACTACCCTATAGTTTCAAATGCTGACCTGTTCTTTTTAGAGTGAATATGGGAGGGAGAATTAATTAAATGTGGGAGTGCAAAATTTGTGTTTCTTTCATAGATATTTTCATGAGAACTTGGAGAAGACTAAGTGGAAAACCAGATGTTGCTGAGAGAACAAGTTATCTCCTTCTCTCTACCCTCCACCACCCTCAGTTTGTGAGAGGGAGTAGCCCTGCAAACATTTATTTCCCCCACTGAACTTTACTGAGAAAATGGAAATGATTACAGTCAGTTTCAAATAATATTTTTCCCTCCGTTGCATAAATCATGAATGCTAGCCAGAACTCATTTTCAGTTGGTGTCCTTTTTTGTGTTACTGTCTGTTCTTGGCTTTCAAACACTCATTCACAGATGAGATCTTATCGATGGAAAAAGTTCCTCACTCCCCCAGAGTCAAATGATATTAAGTATGAATGCTTTTTCATTAACGATTCAATTTAAACAGCTATCAGGTTGTATCTTTTTATATTTTTAGAATTAAAATTATTTATGAAATAATTATGAAGTGGTAGTTTGCTTTGTTTTGAATGCCTTTTAGTTAAAGGTTGGCAATTTTAGGTTGGTTTCGAAATGATGTTTGAAATTTTTTCTGGTCTATATAATCCCAAACCCTATGAGCCACTGGAATGTATCTTCAAATAGTTTTTCAACAAGTGGAATATTTTTTGAAGCCCTGAATTTCTGAGAATACCCATCTGTCCCACAGAAAGATAAATTGCTGGGTCTAGTTCTTAGTTCATCACTATTTCCCCTCAAAACCCTGTGGAGTCATTTGGCATCTAACTTTCAGAGGAACTGTCTGGGACCAACCCAAAGTTTTGTGTTCTTGTATAATAATTTTTTACTAAATAGTTGTGAGATTTGATAAAATTGATTCCACCTTCTCCTTTCTCACAAGTATACTCCCCTGAGATAGGTTATGTGGTACCTGAACACCAGGAGCAGATTCTGACATCACTTAAGTTCAAATCTAGCTCTACCCTTGACTAGTTGTTATATGGGTTTAATCGTGTCCACCAAAAATATATGTTGAATCCCTACCCCCCGCCCCAATATCTGTGAATGTGATCTTTGTTGGAAATAAGGTCTTTGCAGATATAATCATATTAAGATGAAGTCACTAGGGAGGGGCCTAATTAAATATGACTCATGTCCTCATAATAAGTGGGAAATTTGGGTGCAGAGATACAGAGTGAGAATGCTTTGCAAAGACAAGGGACACAAAAGGAATCTAGCCATGGAAGACAGAGGTAGGGACTGGAGTTTTGTTGCCACATATCAAGGAATGGAGTACCTGGGCTTATCAGAAGCTGGAAGAGACAAAGAAGGATCCTCTACTAGAAACCTCAGAGGGAGGATAACCCTGCCAACAGCTCAACTGCAGACTCACAGACTCCATGAGTGGGAACGCATGCACTCAGTTTAAGGTATCTTGTTATGGTAGCACCAGGAAGTGAATACACAGATATTTCTCAACAACTCTGAGCTTCAACTACTTTAGCAATAAAATGTGGATAACAACGTGTTGGTTATAAGATTGTTGAGAAGGTTAAATGTGATTAAACAGAAAACATAAATTATGGCCCCTAGGAAGAATCTAATAAATAAAATGGTTTGTTAATGTTGTTATCTTCATCATCTCTCCCACCACCCCCCCACCACCTTCCTTGGGGAGACCCCTCTCCTGGAAATATTTTTTCTTTTTCTGTACTTGACATTTTAATAGAAAGCCCATATGAATTTTATAAAATAATATAGTTACATTTTTAACAGTGGATTCCTATGCCCACCCTCAAAGATGTTTGATTCAGTAGGTCTTGGGGAAGCCTCTGGAATGATTGCTATTTGAAGGTGTCCAGACATCAACTCTCACTAAGTATTGAGAATGCAATGTAATTTAAGTGGTAGACCTGGTATTGGTATTACTGTTCTATAAATATGGAAACTAAGGTCAAAGGAAATTGAACCCAAGTCAGAAAATGTAAAATTAAGTAATTTTGAGGCTGAACTTCAATAACTTCATGCATTTGATGAAATGTGAAACTCTAGACTAGCATGAAAAAATGCCAGATAATGAGGACACTATAATATATAAAATATGGGAGAGAGTCCAGTACTAGGATTGAGAACACATGCTTTGGAATGAGACAGGTTTAAACTCTAAACTGGTACTGACTTTCTAGCCATGCGAACTTGGAAAAGTTATTTAACCTTTTAAGGTCTCAAGCTCTTCATCGGAAAATGGGACTAGCAGGTGTCAGGTGTCTGGTGAAAAGTGAATGAGAGGTGAAGAAAAAGCATTTAATACACAGACTGTGCTAAGTAAGTGACATAATTTTGCCAACATGCATTGAAAATTATCTCAAAAAAGAAATCAGCATCTTTACTTACTACTAGTGTTTGTCTTAAAGATTTGAGTGCAGAGAGAAAGAAGGTCTACAGATGAGAACTCGTAAGTTATTTTAGAAAGGATGTGATAGTCATGCTTTCAGAAGAGCTTATTGATTATTAACAGATTGAGAATAACTTTTCTGGGGATTCTTCTTTTATTTTTTTTTTTTTTTATAGAGGCATGTTTTTTTTATTTATTTATTTATTTGTTTGTTTGTTTTGTTTATACATGCACTGGGTACAGTCAGAAGCGCGGGAGGGTGAGAGAATTCACCAGAGCCAGAGCGGGAAGCAGAGCAGGCAGAAGGACCGAAGTACACTGCTGAGGGGAGCAGCGGGCAGCAGGAGAGGTCTGCGCGCCATGTGGGACCCTCGCTGGTGGCCGGGGAGCAGCCGGGGATCGAACCGGCGCCGCCGAGGCCGCGGGCAGCCTCGCAACCCAGCGCTCAACCGCTGCGCCACCGGGGAGGCCCGGGATTCTTCTTTTAATTTGCCTTTAATATGTCTCCTCCCATCTTTAAATTCCCTGCAATAGCCCCTTTAATCCCCAGGGCATGTGTTCCAAGACCCTGCAGTGGAAGCGTAAAACCATGAACAGTACCAAACCCTATAAATACTATGCTTTTCCCTATACATACCAATGCTGCAGTTATCCCGTAGTGAAAGTTATGTGAATGTCGTTTCCTTCCTCCTTTCTTCTCTCTCTTTCTCAAACTATCTTATCACATGTAATGCTTTCAGATCCTACTTAACTGTGGGTAACTGAAACTGCAGAAAGCAAAACCCTGGATAAGGTCATTTGTCAGAATACATAAGGACCCACTTCAAGTGTTCCTAGTATCTATTAGAAAATATGTGTTCAGTGTCCAGTAGGATTGGTTCTCTTAGAACCAATTTCACCATATTCTTCATTAGCCCTGCGATGCTGAGAAGGGGAGACCCAGGAAGGAAAGCTTTCCTGATGTGGGGAGCAGGACATCTTGACATCATCTAAGGAGTGAGGCACAAAGTAAATAGCAAAGAGACAAGACAGGAAACGAATGTGAACATAGTTGCTTCTTTTGACTTTTGCATTATTTAAATCATCGTGGACTTACATCATGCAAGAAATGGTTACTGTATTCAAATTCTTTTGATTTTTGTTAAAGGTGACATGTTTTTCAGACACCTGACAGATTCCAGCTTCATGACATTTTCTGCATGTCACGTGTCCTCAGCAAGCTTCAGCGCCAGGGTCCTCAGCTCCCCTGTCCTGCTGGTTGAATCTATCATCTGGGATGCAATCAACAGGAAACCAAATAGTGGCTTAAACATAAATATATGCTAAAAAAAAACAAAAAAAAAAACAAACAACAACAAAAAAAACATAAATATACGTTTATAGCAGTAAGTCAACAGATAGATGTTGCAGATTCAGGACAGTGGCTCAATAGTTTCATCCAGAAACCAGGTTTTATTTTTTCCACTTTGCCTTTCTCAGCATGTGTTTTTGTCTTCATGCTTGTCATTTTGTAATGGCAAGATGGTGGCCTTACTTCCAGGAATTACATTCTCAGCCTGCTTCCTGAGAAGAAGAGGGGAAAGGCCAAGAGAGCACCTCCTCTTGCATGCTGGCTCTTTCAGTAGTACAGAAAATTATTCCTAGCAACCTTGCCAGCAGGTCTCTCTTTCTATCTCTCCAGCCAGAACTGGGTAATGCGGCTATCTCCTGCTGTAAGAAACTGGGGAGTACCAGGCAAATATGAATGCTGTTACTCTGATTGACTTAAAGCAATCATGATTCATCTCCTGGGGCTGGGCATATTGCATCCCTTAATAAAATCAGTCTGTTCATTAAAGAGGGCAGAGGCTATGGCAGTGAATAGAATTTGCTGTAGTGCATTTCCCTGCTGCTTTTTCAGTTTTCTAGATTTTTGAACTGCACTTTCCACCTTTGGTATCCTAAAACTCATCTATGGAATCCAGCCCTGGGGAGGAGAAAAGGAAAGGGGCAGCTGGCAGGTTATAGCTGAGGTGTCATGTCTAATTGGCATGAACTTGAGTTAGCATCCCATCCGATGATCTCGCTCACGGAAGAATTAGGAGATTTACGAAACTGATTTAATCTACTCACGTCACATGGGGCTGATTTGTAAACTCTAATCTGTATACTTGGAGTGGAACATCTATTCAAATAAGAACTCAGTAGTTGTCTGCCCTCTTTCTAAACAGACCCAGGATACTCTGAGTATTGGTGCCAGCGCTAGGAGGTTACAAATCTATCTCAGGCTCCCTGTTGGCTCTGCAAGGAAGAAGCCAGAAGACCTCTGCTTCCAGTCTGCACTTCCTGTGAGCCTCTAATACTCCTTCACTCCAGTAGCAGCAGGTGAGCACTTAAAGAACTAGCTTGGCCAGGTCCCCTCAGAGAGAAGAGCACCTGTGGAAGTTTCCCTAGCCAGAGATCCCAGTTTCAGCTCTTCTGGATTGCTCACTGAGACAATGCAGACTTTTCCCTTTTGTTCCACCCTCCATCATAGCAGGGGGTAGCTGCTTCCTGCAGTTGTTGCCTCTGTGAGCTATCTTTGAGCTCTCTTAGAGCTATCTTAGAGCTACCTTAGAGTTGCTCTCTTAGAGCTATCTTTTCATCCGTTCAATTCCTTAGTTAACAACTTTATACATGATCAGTGTCTTTCTGTCTTGAATGGGCCTGACTAATTCTGGGGCAATTATCATGAAGAGATGGATAGCCAAAGGCAGGGTCCTGAAGTACTTCATGCTTCCTTACACTTTACAAATTACAGACCAGAAGTGTCCATTGTAGCAGCTTTCCTTATTAAGCCTCCAGAGGAGGATATGGGTGGAAAAAAGTCATTGTTTATAATTGGACCCGCACACTAATGTGGAAGCCCCAACTCTGGTAAGCAGACCTAGACCTGGTAGGAGCCCATCTGAATAAATGAAGCCTGAAATTCCACCTTTTTGTTGAAAAAAATTCTGCCTTTCAAAGGAGAATGATTTCAAACAAGAAGCACACCCAGACCTGTTGTGTCACCACCCATTACTAGTATCATGAGACCAGGGATCAGGAGGATGTTAGGAGAGGAAATCCAAAGGCCAGGAATCTCCAAAGACTGACTCCAAAGAGCTGTCGTGTCAAAATCCACTATTTTATTTATTTTAGATTTTATTTATTTATTTTATTATTTATACAAGCACTGAGTGCAGTCAGAAGTGCGGGAGGGTGAGAAAATTCACCAGAGCCAGAGTGGGGAACAGAACAGGCAGACTGACGATACACTGCTGAGGGGATCAGCGGGCGGCAGGAGAGGTCTGCTGTGCCATGTGGGACCCTCTCCGGTGGCTGGGGATTGAACCAGCGCTGCAGAGGCTGCGGGTAGCTTCGCAGCCCAGCACTCAACCGCTGCGCCACCGGGGAGGCCCAAAATCCACTATTTTAATCCCTTTAACTATCTTTCCAAAGTGTAATTCTTAAGTCACATGTCCAGAAATATTCTTGTTCTGAATCTATCCAGGTTAGCACTCTTTAATGTTGGAGCACCCTCTTTCTCCTTCTAATGAATACTAAGTAGACTCTACTCTGGAGAACAAATTAGAGGTGAGAAAAATTAATGTGGTGAATACAAGGGGAGCAGAACAAGAGGAGGAGGTTATCTCTAGGAATAATTCCCATTCTCTACATCACACACTTGCATCTAAAGTGGGACAGATGGGCTAAGCTCTTGGTACCCTCACTCCTAAGTAGTGTGGAAGGAACATGTAAATCCTTATTTTTTAAGACTGCTTTTTCTAGATTCTGAGTTCATGAACTCCATCAAGCTGCTTTATTACAGCACATTTTTACACTATATTACAACCCCTAAATTTCCTTTCAAAAGTAATTTTTCGTAACAACCAGCATTTTATTGTGACTGTCTTTTGAAGCACATAGTGAATCATTTAACAATAAGAATTTTTATTGAGCTATGACCCAGGTACATTATTTCTTTTAATTTACTGTTAATCTATATTCATGTTAATAGTAAATTTGTTTAAATTAAGTAGTGCTACAAGTAACAAAATACCCAAAGTAATACTGTGTTAAACAAATTAGAAATTTATTTCTCACTCAAATAATCTTTCCAGGGCTAGTATGGCAGTTATATAGCCAGTAGGTACCCATTTTGTTGCTCTGCTGGGTTTAACATGTGACTTGTGCCTTATGATCCATGGTGCTGCTCAAGTTCCAGCCATTTCACCTGCATCCCAGCAAGTAGAGAACTTGCTTTCTAATGTTAAGGACATTTAGTAGCTTAACACATCACTTCTGCTTGCATCCCATTGTCCATAAGTAGTCACAAAGCCTCACAAGCTGCAAGGGAGGCTGGGAAATAATTCTGGACAGTCTACTAACCTAATGGGAAGAATAGCCATTACTAGATGATGAGCAGTCCAGTCCAACATGGTGAATGGTCTCCTAGAGTAACTCTAACTTTACCCTAACAAATAACAAGATAGCTGAGATATAATTTCACGTACCATATAATTCAACTATTTATTCAGTTCAGTGGTTTCTAGTGTATTCATAGTTGTACTATCATCATTATAATTTTATATTATGTTCATTGCCCTGAAAAATAAGCTCTATATTGATTAACAGTCTTTTCTTTTCCTCAAGCCCTGTTCTACTGTCTGTTTCCATGGATTTGTCTACTCTGGACATTTTATATAAATGGAACCAGACTGTATGAGATCTTCTGTTTTCAGGGTTCATCTATATTGTAACGTGTCAGCACGCCAGTGTCTTTTATGGCTAAACATTCCAAAGCAGATGGATAAGACAAACTTTATTTAACCATTAATCAGTTGATTAATACTTTAGATTGTTTTCACTTTTTGGCTATTATGAATAATGCTGCTATGAATACTCACTTGTAACTTTTTGTGTAGACATGTTTTCATTGCTCTTGGGTATATACCTAAGAATGGAATTCTTGGATCATATGGTAACACTGTATATAATTTTGAGAAACTGTCAAACTGCTTTCCAAAGTGGTTTCACTATTTTAAATTCCCAGCACAAGGATTCCAATTTATCCACAACCTCCACTTTTTCCTATCTGATTGATTGTAGCCGTCCTCGTGGTGTGAAATGGCATCTCACTGTGGCTTTGATCTGCAGTTCCTTCATGATTGCCAAGTATGTTCTCATGGCATTTTGGTATTTTGTATACTTATCTACTCTGGAGAAATATCTCTTCAAACACTTTGCCCATTTTTAAATGAGGTCATTTTACTGTTGACTATGTATGTCTTCATCAAGGAATGAAATTGTTAGATGATAATAGCTCCTTATTTAACGTCTTGGAAAACTGCCAGACTTTTCAAAAACAGCTATTCTCATCTTATATCCCCAGCAGTACTATATTAGGGCCTCGATATTCACATTCTCATATACTTGGTGTTATCTCTTTTCTTTATCTTAGCTACCCGGTGGGTGTAAAGTGACACCTTAATGTGGTTTTAAATGCATTTCTCTGACTGCTAATGATGTTGAGCATCTTTTCATGTGATTATTGGCCATTTGTATATCTTCTTTGGAAAAACAAAGGTAGATCCTATACATATCCTTAGGGTTTGAAATATGTTTTGTTTTTAGATAGATGGTTCTGTGTCATTTCATTACATCATATATTCTAGGTTGGGATTTTTCCTAGAGAAACATCGGTCTTTATTATGGGAAAGTCAGCAAGGCTTTGAAAATGTTATCATATATTCAGAAGCCATGTTATGTAGTATAAAATGCAGATTTGATTCAATATAGGTAGAAAGACTTTAAGGAGAAATTTTATTTAAAAATTTGCAGCAATTGGACAATGTAGGACTCAAAAACAGTTTAGTTTTTGACTGAGTGCTAAAGCATTAAGGAAAATAAGAGGCACCATTATCAAGATAAAGTTTGGAAACATTCAACAAGGTACAAAGCTTTACACTGATTATTCAGAATCATGTTTAAAAATATATATACAAATGATGACTATATTAATGACATTAACCTGTATTGGAATTATAAAACTCAACTTTCAGTAATTATGGGATAATTAAAATTGTGCTTTTAGTTTCAAATGCTGTTAATTCTTTATATCTCTCTTCATAAGCAAAACTAAACAAAATAGTTAATTAAAAACATAACCTACAAAATACCTTTATTTTACTTGAATTGTAAAAATACAGCCAAATAAGCATATGTAATTATAAAACCTACATCATTCATTAGTGGAGATGTTGTCAGCAAAGTGAGGGACAAGACAGGCAATATGATGGGGTGAGAAAAATGATGGTCTGGATGTCTAAAAACAAAGTTCCATCACTTAAATTATTAACCTTTCTGGGCCTGTTTTCCAAATCTATTAAATGAAAAGGTGGAGTTATAAGGCCATCTGATAACTCTATTGTCTTATTAATATACACTGATTAAAGGACAGAGATTGTATGTGACATTTTTCTAAGGAAACTTGTCCAAGAAACGTAAGTCTAAAAATGAAACCAAACCAGGAAGTCAGATTTACTTTAGAATATGTAAAAATTGTCAATATTGACATATTCCAATCCCAAACATTTTTTGTGTATCTGGCTGTGTGTGTGTATATGGATCATGTTTCCCACATTTTCATAGTATTTCACAAAATGGGTTGTGATCCAAATGTTTAGAAAACAATAGGATCAACAAAAATTGCGGCATACTTTTTGTTTATTCAGATCCATTCTCTAATTCTTCCCACATTTAATATTAATTTGATTTGGGACAATATGTCCAGGTCTACAGTGATGGATTGATTGGCCTAAACTAATCACTGCAGTCCTGTTTTCCGCTTTGTCAGGCTCCCTTGCAGCTACAGGTGATAAAATCAATGGACAGGGCATGAAAGTGTTTTCTTTCCAGAAGTATCTCCAGGGATTATTTTTCAGGAGTATCTGGTTTAGGATTATTCCCTAGGCTAACTTAATTACCAATTAGATTGATGAATGAACTTCTTGACCTATCATGGCAAGATATATTCATATATTCCCATAAAATATTTACTCTCAAAAATATGAGCCAATGTATTCATTTGTGTACTTCAGCACACTTTGCCCCTATTTTTGGAAAGGACTTAAAAAGAAGGAAAATCTGTTAGTCAAGGGAGAATGTGTTTATTAAACTCCTTGTCTATTATAAGCCTAGAGAACTTGGGAATTCATATTTTCTGAGTATATAAAATATAACACTAGTGTTATTTTTAGATATTGCTGTTCTAAGTCAAAGAAAAAAAAGCTAAATCCAGCAATTCAGTTATAATCTCAATTCTGTACCCAAATTACCTAAGGTGCTTTAAAAAGGAAATTACAGTCACTTCCATCCATTCCATCAGCCCCTTCTGATTAAAGACGTTTGGAAGTGGGTCAGGCACATGTAATTTCTAAAGTCCTACTAGTGATTCTGACAGGCAACCAAGGTTGATATGCTGTGCTTTATAAATCACAGAAGCTGTGACTCTTCAAGATACTTAGGTGAATAAGGTGGTGTGGCATGGTGGAAGTAATGCTGTAACAGCTATTAGGGGTCTTGGCTTGGGAACTCAGCAGCTAGATGACTTTGGGCAGACAAAAGTTTTATTTTTTTAAGATTTATTTATTTATACATACAAGAACTGGGGTACAGGGCAGATGTACTGGGAGATGGTGGTGAGAGGATTCACCAGAGTCAGAGTGGGGAATAAAACAGGCGGACTGAAATATACTGCTGAGGGGAGCAGCAGGCCCTGACAGGAGAGGTCTGCTGTGCCATGTGAGCCAGCTCCCTGGCCTGCAGGGGATCAGATAGAACTGGTGGCTGCTGATAGCTTCATAGTGCTGTGCTTAACCCCTTGTGCCACCGGGGAGGCCCCAGACAAAACTCTTTGAACCTTAATGTATCACTCAGAAAGACATACGTTTGTTACTGATGTAAACATCAAATACTTAAAAAAATATATAGAACATTATAGAGTCTAAACATTTTTACAATAGTATTTAATGCTGTTTTTTCCTTTTCATGGAGTATGTTTTCCCTTCCTTGTAGTTAGGCATGCTGAGATTTCCCTGCCCCAAGCACAAAGAATTGTTACCTTATCTGCTGCTGGTTTCTGCAGCACTTTCTGCGTTACATTGATCCCTATAACTGACAACCCCACCTTCGCCTCACTGGTAAATTCTAAGCTATAGAATTGTTAGGGGGAAAAGGATGTCCTAAAGCTGATTCCATACAGGCTTTGTGGACTCCACCCGCCACTCCAGACCAAAGCCAAAAGACACTGGGAACTCCAAATCCCATCACCACCAAAGGGAAGGAAAGTTATTCTCAGTATTCTCTGGCCCTAGCAGGATGACCCAAAATGGTGATCACCTTATTGCTGAAGACAGAAATTGCCCTGAAAGAACCAAGTTGTCCTTTTCTTCTTTTTCAAAAGCTTAATCTTCTTCCTTCAGTGTAAATTTACTTGCTGAATTCTAACAGGAAAAGACAAGAAGGGAGGAAGGCAGAGTTCTGCTATAGTAATATAATGCTAATGACAATTTTTTAGTGCTGACATTAATTTTTTAGTGCTTAACTCCAGCCATTCGCACTCCCAGCACCTGCAGCTCTCAACGGTCTTATAAAATACATACTACTATTTTCCCCTTTGGAGGTAGCTGAGGTACAGAAACTTAAGAATTTGTTCAAGTAGGGCACGATGCCAGGAGATGGAGTCAGTGTCCCAACACAGCTCACACTCCAGGGTACGCTATCTTAACCATTAGGCCACCTCCTCATCTGGAGATATTTTGATGATTCCGTTCTCTACCATAGCCCAGGCACAAGCAATCCCTAGTACGTCGGCGCTTCCGCTTGACAGAGAAAACAGCAAAGCTGAAATTGATCAGATACGAAGGGGGAGACCTCGCCACGATAACCATTCCATCCCCGCGCTTAGATCACTAATCAACACCCCCCAAATACCAAAATATCCCGCGAGCAATCCGCAGCCAAGCCCTGCCCCTCGCACCAAGTTACTCGAAACCGACGCGTGGACGCCAGCCAGGCAACCTCCGGGAACAAGAGGCCGGGGCCCCGGTTTTGCTTTTGGTCTTCCCTTCCCGCTGACAGAGTTGACTTTTCGAGACTATCCTCGCGCTTCCCGAAAGTACCTCCGGCTTCCGAGCGTCAGCACCAGCAGTTGGCGCTGGTCCCCGCCGCCCCCCGCCCCCGGATGTGACGGACCGGAAGTGCTCCCCTCTCACAGGGGGCGGGGAAGCAAGATGGCGGCGCCCTGTAGCCGGTGAGGAGAGAGGACACGGGCATCCCGGGGAGCGGCCAGACTTGTGCATTATGGCCGCATCCCCGCATACTCTCTCCTCGCGCCTCCTGTCAGGTACCGCAATAACCCTCGGGCATTATTCTGGGAAAAATCTCTTCTTTTTACCACGTGCGAAGCCGTGGTTCCGGCTAGCTGCAACCTTGGGAGCCCTTGGCGAGGTCGGCTAGGCACCGGCGGGGGAAGTGACCTTTGTAGCAGCCTAGTGTGGAAGCCCTGGAGCCACCGTCTAATTTTGTCCTGTGGCTTCGGGGGTCGGTGTCTGGTGCTTCTTTCTGTTTTATGAGAATGGAGATTGAAGGAGAGTCGACAGTGTAGAATCTTAGGGCTCCGGGAGTCTATTGGCTTATCAGTCTCAGTTCCTGTGGCTTGTACCGACACGGGAAGCTCTTTAGCCCCTTCTCCTACCCCGCCCCAACCTTGTTCTAATATAAAGGGTTGTGAACACAACGATGAGAATGATATTGATAACAACTACAGATGGCTGGCCATAGCCTCCCCCCCGCCCCCTCCACCTTGACTTTCTACTAGCAGCATGGTGCCTGATGTAATCCTACTTGAAGGTCCTCTAACAACTATGTTAAAGCTAGAGTGCATTTACTTAGCCCTTTGCAAGACCTTAGCTCAGATGTCATTTTTTAAGATAGGATGTCCACCCTTTTCAGATAGGATGTCCACCCTATCTAAAATAGAGCCCCTACCTCTCTCTTCTCACATCAGTTTATTTCTTACATCATCGTTAACACAGTTTGTAATTATTTGTGATTGTCTAGCATTTTGTTACTGTTTCTCCCAGCTAGAATAAAAACTTAGTGAAGATGGGGACAGTGATTCTTACTCACTTGTGTCTCCAGTCCTAAGAACAGTACCTGGTGTACATTGTTGACTCCCAATGATTGTAAATTAATGAAATTTGTCCTAGTGAAGACATTGAATAAGGAATTGGGAATTGTTTGCCCTCAGTAGTTTATGATGATAACTAAGGGCTGCTGGAAAAATGTGTTGCTTGTCCATATTGGAGATGCATAAAAGCCAGGGACGCCTTTTGGGTCAAACCCCAGAATCTTTTCAGGCCTCACCTCTCACAGGCTCTCTGCACTCCCTGGCAATGTTGATCACTGAGACTATGAAATCCCTTCCTCATAATATTGTTATTTTAGAAGTTTCTTCTGGTATGTGTGATTTCAAGAACTTGAGTTTATTCATCTATAAAATGAGGCAGTTGAACTACAAAATCTGAAAGTTCCCTTTTGGTTCAAAAAGTGAGGAAGAGGCTGGGAAGTGGGAGGAAACATAGGTGAAAAAGATTGGGCATAGTTCTGGCATTGTTGAAATTGGGGGATAAGTAAGAGAGTCTCACTGTATTACTAAAAATATCCATAATGAAAAGCTTTTTAAAAAAAGAAAATCTCATTCATTTTGAATCACTTCTTTGTTATCTACCATCCCTGACGGGTGTGATCTCTGATTCTGACCCTAGGACTCATGTCAGAGAGCTCCTCCTTTCTTAGTGCTTGAGTTATCACCACAAAATGGAGGTTTTCCCTGTGTGCATTTCTCTGACTAGCTGCTTTTCTGCCTTTCAGTTCCAAATCCCCAGCTACCTATAGGACAATTTCACTTGACTGTTCAAAATTCCTCATTGTCAGTAAGTGGGCTACATGTACTTCACACTGTTGCTAGAGCTGGTGTAGAAGGAAATAATAGACAGCTTAGCTTCTTAAAGCTCAGAACATAATCATTAAAAACATCCCCAGTAGATATTGTCTATGAATTCTCTGATTAACTTGGAAGATCTATTACTAGAAGTTGAGTTTACCTAGTGAAGTAAGCTGGGACAGTATTCAGTGTCCAGTGGTCATGTCTGATTACGCTTCTAAAAGTTCAAAGTACTTAATACCATTAAAAACAAATTCAAGACCTTTCTGTTATTTGTCTGCTTGTCTCATTAAAAAGTCCTACAATCATAACTCAGTGTTGATGGTGAATAGTGGATGTGGTCACATGTTTCCAGATTTTTAATGTTTCAATTGTAAGCTCTGTGTGTTTTAGTTTTAAGGTATTGATTCCTAGAAATGTGACATCTTTTGACTAAATGAAGTATTTTCATGGTTTAAAAGTACAGTTTCTTAGTTGTTGTTGTTTTTTTTTTCCATTGCCACTATGCTGTAATATCTGTTTGACCCAGTTAATCTTGAGCGGTATTTCCCAAGGTGGTACTTTCTCTCTCAGCAATACACTTTCCTCATTGGACCAGATAAGCTCAAAATTGGCTTTAAAACTTAGGCCCAGAACAATAAAACCTTGATGTCTTCTGGACCTAATCTTTAAAAGCAGAAACCATATTATCCCAAAGGAGAAATACATAACGTCAAAAAAATAAAACTTGAATATTAGAAGACTGATTTTAAAGAAAATTTCAATCAGAGGAGTGATTTCAACTGTTATTTCTTCATGTACACATGAAGGCAAACACATCCTTATATATGGAAAATAGCATTTCATAATTAATTGAGGATTGAGCATCAGATGTTGTGAAGTGACTTCTCTTCAGTCTGAGATAATTGCCTTGAATTCTAAGGGACAATGGTAGTTCTTCTTCCTACAGTCTAAGTAAGTTAAATTGGTGATCTGAAGCATATATAGAAAGCATTGTAGCAAAAGTGAGTGAAGAAGAGGCCCTGCCTTCAGGAAACTAAAATATATGATGGAAATTAATGGAAGCCATTTGTATTCAGAAGCGCCATACAAAAGAGTTTACAGTGATAAAGTTGAAGGAGACTGAAAATTCGACAGAGTTGAGGCAAGACATTGAAAGCAAGGAAATAGCATAAACAAAAGGAGCAGAGTAGATATAAAGGTGAGAATAAAATGTTCTTAAAGACATATTCCAACCCATCTGTTGGATGATATTAAGATATCAGTTGAAAATAGGCATTATGATTCTAGAGATGGGTGAAAAATTCAAAATTACCCTTTAGTTGCATTTGCTCAAAGACAGTATGTGGAGTTCAAAACACTGGGAACACAAGTCTCTAAGTGGCAGGTACAGCAAAAGGAGACTCTAAAGGATAGTGAAAAGGAAGGCAGAGAACCAGGAACCGTTAGTGTCCTGAAGCCATGGGAGAAGAGACTTTAAAAGAAAGGTATAGAATGTTTGCTTTACTGTTGACAGCTGGAATAGCTTGAACATGGGAAACAATGAATTTGTTGCTATTTGAGAGAAAGTTTAGTAGAAAGATTAAAAGTCAAACAACTTTTTTTTTAAAGATTTATTTATTTATGCATACAAGAACTGGAGTACAGGCCAGAGGTGTTGGGGGTGAGAGGATTTACCAGAGAAAGAGTGGGGAACACAACAGGCAGATTGACTGAAATACACTGCTGAGGGGAGCAGTGGGCAAGCCAGGAGAGGTCTGCTGTGCCATGTGGGTAGCTCCCTGGCCATGGATTGAATGTGCTGCAGTGGCTGTGGATAGCTTCAATGGGTTGCGTCTTAACCCCTTGCGCCACCAGGGAGGCCCACAACTTCTTAACTAGACTGATATTTTATTGAGAACTATCTTCTCTCCCTGTGAGTTGTCTTACTCCACATGACCAAAATATTAATATGAAATGTATCTTCTAGTTTACTGTTAAGAAAAATTCTTCTTAATTTCATTTTTAAATTGACTGAACTGACTTTTGTATTCATTTTTTCTTAAAAAGATCTGATGAGTGATCATTCTAGCATTTACTGTAATAAAGGCATAGCATCCTGAAATTAAAACTTTCCTTAGCTCTGCTGACGAATCACGCTGACTTAATAGTGAGTGGGACTCAAGTTGTTCATCAGAAATCTGGATTAGCTCATTTCAGTGTTCTGGCCCATGACCGTGTAGCGCTTAATGTGGTTATTGGCTTTGTTTTGGGTAGGTATAGTCATTACATGGAAGTCTTGCGTAGGTATAGTCATTACATGGAAGTCATTCATCATTTTTAACATTTTTCTCCTCCCTCTCTTACAGGTTGGATGGGAGGATGTGTCTGGTATCTGGAAAGGAGAGCTGTGCAGGAATCCCCTCACAAGTTTATGCATCTTTTCAGGAGCACCAAGAAGCAGTGCATTACATTTCAGCACTTTAACTTCCTCAAGCGCATGGTATGTTTTTGAAGATTGTCTTTACCCTGCTGCTACTGTTTTTACTTTCTTTGTATAATATAATTTCAAAAATTATGTTATTTGAAGCATTATAAGGAGTAAAGTTTAAAAAGACTTGTACTTAGTCATCTTAAGTTTATCCAAAACTTTAGTCCTTTCCTTTATTTTTTGTAGCTGAAATCAGTTTCTAGCATTTGAAGTTAAAAGTATGATCCTGAATTTATTAAGTTTGGAGAAAGATTGAAAACTTCTGGCATATTTCCACTATGCTAAAATTAGGGAAGGCCATACATCTTTTAAAATTCTTTAAGGTTCTGTGAATAATACATTAGTAATAGAGGTAATTGCTTTAACTGTATGACTTTTCTTACAGTAGCAATGCATTTAAACGTCTTTTAACCATGTGCACTTTTGAGTAGGCACATCAATATCTTCTCTGATTTGCTAGGCATTTTATAATTGGCATTGATAATACATTTTGGTCCTCTTGTCGATCTTTAGCTAAGTTGATATTGATGGTAGCTTTTAATTATCAGTGAGGGCATTTGCCATTTTCTCTAGTAGAAAAGGGATTATAGAATGGAGAAATGATAGCTGAAAATTCGTAATTATAGTGTAATCATGAAATAACAACAAATTCATAATCTAAATGACTAATTGATACTTCTGTCATCTCTTTTGAACTTAAGACATAAAACCTTAATAGAGCTCATTATCTTTGATAAAGAGATTTAAATTTCCAAAAATACTGACTTTTTGGGTGAGGATTCTGGTTAATAAATATTTAGAAGAGAAAGTCAAGTATTGGTAACGCCCTTTTTATGTAAATAGAGCTCAGAATGCATCCATGAATTAGTAATTCTTTTTCTAAGACTATTATGTAAGTTTAAACCTTTGTGATATAATGGGGAAGTCACTGATCTAGTTATCAGAAAGGCGGCTCTAAATCCCACGATGTCCTATAGCCAACCATTATTGACTCTGGACTCTTTGTCAGTTTATTTCTGTGCATTGGTTTCCTCCTGTATAAATTAATCAAAGATATATTAATAATGACCCATATTCTTTCACAAATTGCTGAGATTAAAAGAAATATATATTACATAAGCTATAAAATATATAAAACTATAAAGTGCCTCACAAATGTTAGTAGAAGTTACTAGTTTTGGCTACTGAGCAGTAGAGACTGTCAGATTCTAAAGCCCACATTCTCTCCACAGACGCTGTGCTCTAACATCACTTAGTCCTGGATTTTGCCTGGCCATTGAACCCCTTTCTGTACTATTTGCTTAGAACATGAAAAGTCAACAGGTTGACTTGGGCTCTTGATTATATAAAGTTTTGTTATTGTATATGTAATATTAAACCTTTAGTTTCTAGTGTTATGTTGTGGGAAAGTCTGGTGGCCATGAATAAGAAATAAATTTATTTTCCTTTGGAACTTAAGTTCCTGGGATTTTCTAATCACAGAATTTGAAAACCATTGCTGAAATATTTATTGTAGTCTCCAAATCTCATAGCAAACATGTAGCAAACAACTAATATTAGTTAATTCAGAAAGTACTTACAAAGTAATAGGAAAATCTTTCAAGTAAAAACTGGGTAAATGGGAGCTATTACTAAAAAGCCATGAAGAGCATATTGGGCTCTGGTTTTATGGTAACATGTACTTTTTAAATTTAGTATGCCACACAGCTGAACAGAAGTCTCAACCAGCAAGTAAAACCAAAGCCAGAACCCTTGACATCTCCTTTCCTTGAAAAAACATCTTCGGGTCCAGCCAAAACAGAAATATATGAGATGAGATCTCTTTCACCCTCCAGCCTGTCTTTATCCAGAGAGCCAAATAAAAAAGAAGTGATAGAACTAGAATCTGCTTCAATAATTGAAGGTTCAGTTCATGTGAAGAAACAGACAAGAGATGAAAAGCAGTGGAAAGAGATGAAGCTGCATGTGGATGATTTGCCAGGAATTTTGGCTCGACTATCCAAAATCAAACTCACAGGTACTTGGCTTTTCTGGTTAAACATAAAGCTAATTTTGTTTACTGCCGCAAAAGGAATATTTTGAAACTTCAGAACCATTCACTATTTTGCTTTCTTAAATTGGAATTCAAAATCAAATTTTCTGGATTCTATTTACACAGAATTATAAATAGTATTGCATAAAATATGTTGTACTAAAAATAGTGTCTCCTTTATTTACAGTTAGTGTAGAATGCTTATCCTGTTTATTTCCTTGTCTTTTGTGTTTTTATACCTGCCATCATTTAAAGATGTAGTGAGATAATTTGTTTGAGCTCTGGAAGCAGGAAGGGTTGCACTGCTTGGCTTGGTATGCAGTGAACCTGGCCTCTGGAACTCCCAGCTCACTGCTGGGACCTCTGGAGTATAGAGCCCTTCTCTGAAAAAAGGTTTGGAGCCAGATTTTTTATTTAATTGCAAACTGTACCGAATTGTAGTGAGTTTATTTGAGTATTTATCCATCTTTCTATCATTGCGTTGTACCACCATCCTATGAGTCAGCAGCAGCTTCAATAACACCCCATCTCATCACTAAACCTAGTAATAGCTTATTCTAGACTTGCCCTATTTAGAAAGTCTGTTCTACGTCATCCTGGAACCTGAAGATCTAATGTGTCCTTTTCTTTTTGAATAAGAATGGGAAGAAGAAATATAATGGGTGAATGATAAAGGTAAAGCAGGTATCCTTCAAGGACATAGAGGGGTAAATAATGTTACTGAGTCAAAATTGGGAAATCAAAGATGAGACAGTGAGTCTTTTGGAAGTAGAGAATGGAGAAATGGTGGTGTTTGGTTTTCAAGAGAGTTACGCCTGAAACCCATTCTGAAAAGAGGTAAACCAGACACCTTCATTCCTCAGTGGCCAAACTCACTTAAAGAAAATCTTTAAATAGACTTAGGGACAGAAGGGCTGGAGAATCATGGTAACACCTACATAGTGTAACTCTATGAGACTTTCTGGGTGGAATCCTGGAAATGTGTCATAGTGCCCAGCATGCATGATAGCCAGGCAGGAATCATCATGTTTCTGCCAAGGGTACCTTTTTGCCTACCATCATTTAATATGTCCATTTTTGTATCTCCTTGTCACTCTGTAGATTTCTTCTCCATTATCACTCCATTTCTGTAAGTGATATTAGTATTTTCAGTTACCTCAGATGAGAAACTTTAAGCTCATTAACTTTGATTTCCATTCTTCCTTCATATGTAGTCTTAACAACCAGCTGTTAACAAAGGGTCTTTGGTACTGTTTATAAGATTTCTCGTCCTCCTTTCTGAAGTTGAGAGTCCCAAAATTATGAGGTCTTTAGTTATTGTAGCAGCTCCTAATTGTTCTGTCTACCTTCATCTGCCTACCTTCATTCTGTACCTTCATTTTCATAGGGGTATATGCATACTCCTATGATAAAGTTCACTTAATAAATCAGGCACATTAAGAGATGAAGACAAAAGCTAATAATAGAACAATTATAACAATATACTACAATAAAAGCTATGTGAATGTGATCTCTATCACAGTTGACCTCAGGTAATTGAAACTGTGACAAGTGAGGCCAAAGGTGAAGGTTAGGGGGCTACTGTGTATGCTGTTCAGAGATGCCAGATCAACCTTTCCAAAAACATCGCTTTTCTATATTCCTAACCTACTTAAGAGTTTGCCGTTACTCCTGCCTCAACTTTGCTTCATTTTAAAAGAATGATTAAACTCTCCTCCAGAAACCAAACTTGTTTCCTTCCCCACTCTATCCTGCTACTTAGGTCAGTCCTTCTGCCCCACCATATCTTTCCTCCTGCTTCCTAAGAGACTGGTCTGCCTCTCTGATAACTAGTCACATCATTTTATGACTTCTTCCTTAAGCTTTCTGTCGCCTGTACTTGGCCAGGTCTCCCTTCCCCAAACGGGGACTATGGCAAGCAGACTTGTCCAGATCCTGACTATGACATTTACTAGTTAGACTCTAAGCAGTTCCTTAAACATGTAGAGGCAATTTTCTCATCTGCATAGTGGGAATAATAATGTCATTTAAGAATTTAGGTCACATAATGCATTTGAAGTACTCAATGGCATGTCTGGCACAGGGGAGAGCCTTAATAGTGAGTTTCCAAATAACTACAGTTAAACACCTGATTTCTGTTTAATGTGTATATTCCCTAAGATTTTGATGGCAGAAATCATGCATATAGTGTTTTTTGAGTACTTGTAGTAGTCTGGGTACAGTGCTTTTCACTTGTTAGGGACTTGCTTTGAAGAAGGAAATTGAAAAACTGAAGTCCTCTGGAAGGGATCACTATGAAGAAGGAGGGAATTGGAAATCTGTCACCTGGGGAATGAGAGTGTTTGCTTGGAAAAGAAGAGAGGAGAGTAGTGAGGAGAATGAAGACATCATAGCCATCTTCAAATATCTGTAACTCTCTTGACTTAACTGCTGCTGATTTGTGGTCCAGAGGGCAGAGCTGGGAGGTGCTAGCAGTGTGGCAGGTCCTCTCAATATGAAGTAGGGTTCTTAGGAGATGCTGGCTGTTGTAGCAAAGCTAAGTTAAGGAGAGTCCTTGATGTTAAGAAACTAAAAAACACAGTGGAAATAAATGAAAGCCATTTGTGTTCAGAAGTGCCATAAAAAGGGGATTACAGTGATAGAGCTGAAGGAAACTGACAATTTGACAGGTGGAGAATTCAGGCAAGACACTGAAAGCAAGGATGTGAAATGGGCTGACTGCCTTGTAAGGCAAAGTTCTTGTCATTGGAACTGTTCAGGTGGGAGCAGATCATCTTTGAGAGAAGTTGGAAGGGACTTCTGTGTTGTGTAGTAGAACTAGATGCTGACTTCTAACTCCCCTTTTAAGACTATGAGCCTGCCTGCCTTCAACATTAATTGTGGTGTCTACAATGCACTTATTTGTGCTAGATGATGGAGTTAAAGAGAGAACTCACATGATTTTTGTCCTTAAGAAGTTGATAGAGGAGGGAGGGTTTTATTCCTTAGTATTTAATATTTTTGCTTGCTATTATAAATACGATTTTTTTTTTTATAATTGAGATAACTCTTCACAATACTGTATATGTTTTAGGGGTATACATTCACATTTCTTGACATTTGTTACCACACTACTTCTACCACCAAAGGGTGGAGAGATTTTGTACACATACATATACGTATAAACAAAAAGTTGGTCTAATACATTTGTGTTTCAAGCCCAGAGCTCTTTTTTAATACTGTGTGATCGTTGACACTTTGCTTAACCTTAGAGTACCTTAGTTTTTTTACCTTTAAAATAGGGATAATGGTATATTTCAGTCTTATCGTGATGATTAACGAGATAATGCATGTAAAATACCTGGATTCTCAGTATCTCATAGTAGTCACCTAATTGACTCTTATTAATACTATTATTATTATTATTACTATATCTATCATTAAGGAAATTAATATTGCAAATGTTGTGACAGATGTATGTATGTTTAAGGGGGCTTGGGGGACCCAGAGAAGTGAATGTTATTTCACCCTCTGGAGGGGATTAAGGTGGATGTATATTTATTAGGCAGTGAGGGAAAGGATTGTAAGCAAAGAGAGAAGCTTTTGCAAAGGCAAAGATAGAAGCTTTTGCAAAGGCAAAGAAGCCATCCTGGCATATTCAGGACACTGCAGTATGCTATGGTTAACACAATATGTGTACCTAGGAGAGTCCATTACTGAGGCTGAAGAGCTGGGTAGAACCACATTATCATATTGGCATGTATTTTATGCTAAAAGGATTTCATTATTATATCCTACGGCCAAAAGTGATGGGAAGTTCTTTGGAAGAACATGGTTTGTGTTTTGTTTTAATATCTCTTAAAACACTTTTAATTACTACTAAGTTATTTTAAACTTAATGTAAGAAAATTCAATTAATACAGAAGCATATATTGTAAACTGAGAAAGTACTCATTCTTTCTGTTCTAGTTAAAAGCCTTGCTTGAAATGTAGCTTTCTATATGTAATAGATAAGCAGATATAGATATGGCTATTCATTTTAATAGAAATAGAATCATTATATGTAAACACACATTTCTGCAACTTGCCATACTCTCTTAACAGTGTAGCTTTGCTGTCAATATTTACTTCACTGCATACTATTTCATTATATGCAACTGCTATTCTTAACTAATTTTCTACAGGTGAACATATAGGGTGTTTCCAGTTTTTTTGCTATTTTTTTTTTGAAGATTTACTTATTTATTTATACAAGACCCAGGGTACAGGCCAGATGTGCAGGAGAGTGAGAGGATTCACCAGAGACAGAGCGGGGAAAGAACAGGCAGACTGACGAAATACACTGCTGAGGGGAGCAGTGGGAGAGGTCTGCAGCACTATGTGGGACCCTCGCCAGCTGGCCAGGATCGAACCGGCGCTGCAGAGGCTGCGGACAGTTTCACAGCGCTGCGCTCAACCGCCTGTGAAGGCGCCACCAGGGGAGGCCCCAGTTTTTTTTGCTATTAAAAGCAATTCTGTGGTTAACCTTCATGTACATGTCTTTGCATACTTATGAGTCATGGAATAAGTGTTTAGAAATGTAATTGCTAGCTTTAAACCTTTCAATTTTGATAGATTAACTAGTTGCTTCCTTAAAAAGGATAGTTTAATTTACACTGCCTCTAAGAGCAAGTCAGAATCTGACTCCCTCTGTATTCTGTGATTGTGAAATCTTTACCAAATTTTCCTGTTGGATAATTGGAAAAGATTTCTGTGTGTGTTAGTTTTCATTTTTTAAGTTGTGGTGAGATTTAACATCTTTTTTTTTCTATTTTGATCATTGCTATTTTTCTCTATTACTTACCTCATATCTTCCGTCATTTCTTAGTGAAATTTTAGAGCCTTTGTAAGTAAAATTAGCATTTCATCTGTCATATGCGTCAAAATATTTTTTCTTTTCACTTTATGATGTTTAATTTGTAATGTTTTGTTGTTTCATTTTTCCATACCCACTGAGATTTTTATCT